TACTCACTCATTATGTTATCTGTTGTCACTTTGTGGTGTGTGTGATGAAGTTACTGGTTCCTGAACATCCACAACATATGTCTGCATCTGTACACAGATGATTATATAGCTTACATCAATGTTTATGATTTTTTTCCAATTTTCAAGTCAGAATTTCTGGGCTGAAGTTTTACTTTTTAGATTAACATGAAGCAATGTTTTTATGATCAAACATTGTTTATGATCATTAAAGTAAGGTTTGGAGACTGCCTCCGTGGTGTAGTGGTTAGAGCGTCCGCCCGGAGCGCGGAAGGTTGCGGGTTCCATCCCCGACCATGTCATACCAAGAGACCTTAAAATATGGTACTTGTTGGTCCCTGCCTGGCACTTGGCATTTATGGGTACAACAAGGACTGGTCGGCTCGGAGTCAGTATAATGTGTCTGAGTTGGTTATTCATGCTTCACTGCGGCATGGTATCTCAGTGGGCTAGCACTATAAAACCAGCTTCAGTCTGGACTAGTACAAGCAGCCGCACATACACATAGACACGCATGCACGTCGTCATATGAGCGAAATATTCTCAAGCACAACGTTCACCCAATTTCACCTCACCTCATTAAGGTTTGGAATATGCATAACATTACATTATGTTCATTTGTGCCAGAGCAATTGTGCTTTATTAACCCTGTTGACTTCTGCAGTTGTGTGCAAACAAATTAATTTTCCAATTACAGAGTTATATCCCGACTTGTTGAAGTCCAGGCCGAAGCCAACTGATGGAATTGACTCCGTGATAGTGGTAGACAATGTTCCTGAAGTTGGACCAGAAAGACTGGAAAAGCTGCAGAATGTTATCAGGAAGTTGTTTTCCAAATTTGGCAATATTGTCAATGAATTTTACCCAGAAAAAGACGGCAAGACAAAAGGGTATGACCAGTCAACAAGGTTTAGCATCCAATGAAACAATCTATTAACTGTGACTAATCATTGCTCAGCAACATTATAGTTATTGCCACCTGAATTTTGATGATTAACAACTGCTAAAAAATTGTGATATTGATGCATAAGTGTTCTGTGAGTTTGTACACTTTTCCAAAGCTTGACTTTTGTAAAATTCTTGAACTCATGTTCCTGTATCTGGTACTAAGTGTAACAGGCTCAAATGTGTTTGGTACAGAATATCCACCGACTATAGACGGTAAAGTTGTTGGATTCTTTGGTATATATTCCCTGGGAGGAAATTGAATGGAACATTGTCATTTTATATCACACACAAGTCTGTGTGAAAACCTTTTAATTCAAATCTGTCTTATGTCATCATTTTATTGTAGTGATGATATATAGACTTTAGTATCAAAGCCTGTTGGGCCAGAAATGGGGCAGTTGGGTAGACTAGTAGCTGATATGTTGGCTCATCGCACTGAAGGAATGCAAAAATTCAAACCAAACCCAGTAGACAAACTTTTGCTAGGCTCAGGCTATGGACCAGTAGCTAAAGTCACAGACTACAGGAATCAACATAGCCACTATTCTGATGAATCAAGACGTTGGAAAAGTTGAAAGTTAGGATTAGTATTTTTACTAGTAATATTTCCATAATGTTGACCTGTTTCTTTCAGGTACATCTTCTTGGAATACACATCCCCCCTGCATGCACAGGAAGCGGTGAAGATGACTAATGGTTATAAGCTGGACAGGATGCATACATTTGCTGTCAATCTCTTCTCGGACTTCGACAGGTATGTAAAGATGGTTGTGACTGGAAGATTGAACCAACATTGCCAACATAAGATTTAGGATGAGACATGGCACACTTGTGTATTTCAGATTTGGAAATTCTCCTTTAACCGTTACCTGTCATAGACATGTAGAGGTGAAACAATCTGTGAAGATCAGGGTTTGAATTGATCTCCAGCAATCCATGAAGGATTCGGTGGTCAGACTCGCTGACTGACTTGACTCATCATTGTATCTCAGTTATTTAGATCCTAATTTATGATGTCTTTCACTGGATTGTCTCGTCCAGACACGATTACAGTTTGCTGTCGCATAAATAGAATAATGCTGAGTGCAGTGTTAAGAAAATAAACAGAATAAAATCTAAAACAGGGGTGTCATCATTGAAACCATATTGATTATTTACCATGTTTTGATATTTCCTGCTATTTAGCAACTTGGACGATAAGCTGTGGAAGTGTGGATGATAAGCTGTTAATGTGTCAAAGGTAATAGAGGTCTGAGGCAAAAACAACAACAGAAAGTCTTAAAGACAGGTCACCTGTTATTGTGAAGTTCTAGAGGGAATCATCATGGTGGTCATTGATTGCTACTCCAGTTGTTGAGGCAGTAAAGATTTCTCAACCATGTAATCAGTGATTTTAAATAATTTTTAATTGTATTCCGTTTGTTGTGCAGATATGAAAATGTTCCTGAGGAGTGGACTCTACCAGAACCAAAGGCGTATCATGATCCTGTAAGTTAACATAGAATTCTTGTATTCTTGACTCTGGTAATCAATGTTTGAAATGAACAAGAATGTTGTATAATGCAAGGTACCAGAAGATTTAGATGAACAGGGTTTTATTATCCTTTGCAACGCGTTAAGCGGGGAATATAGTATTAGGCTCCGTACGTACGAATTAGAATATCTTAAGAACCGTTGACTAGATTGTTTTCATATTTGGTACCTAGGTTCATCACAGTATAAGAAAGGTCCCAGTCAGGTTTGGTGACCTTGACATTCATTTCAAGGTCACAAGGGGACTTGAACGTTTTAATCGTCAGCGAAATATCTCAAGAACCGCTCTCTAGATTTTCTACTTATTCAACACCAAGCTTTATCTAGTGAAGGCACACGGCCAAGTCGATGTTAGTGACCTTCATGTAATTTTCAAGGTCATGGCGACACTTTGAAGATTTCAGCATGATAACCTGCATGTTAAGCTATCTTAAGAATCGGGGCGGTGGGGTAGCCTAGTGGTAACAGCGTTGGCTCGTCACGCCGAGAACCTGGGTTCGTGTCCCCTGCCATGATGTTGCTGGAATATTGCTAAAAGCGGCGTAAAACCAAAACTCAGTCAGTCTTAAGAACCGTTCACTGGATTGTCTTCATATTCAACACCAAGCTTTATCTGGGGAAGGCACAGGGCCCCGTCGATTTTGGTGACCTTCATGTCATTTTCAAGGTCACTGTGGCACTTTGAAGATTTCAGCATGTTAACCTGAATTCACTGGACCTTCTTCATAGACTTTCAAGACTTTCCTTGAATGTTTTTCAATAAGCAATTCTTTAGTACCGTTTTTGCATATTTCATACACTATGACATACATGTCAAGGTCAAAGTCAGTCTTGAAAATATTTGTGTGTTTGAACAACTAAAGAGAAGATATCAAGAGCAGAGCTCCAGATAAGATTTAGCTCATGTTGGCACTGTACCCACCGTATATTCTTGGAGTGGGTATTATGAATGTTGAGTGGGTATTTCATTTTCCATTACCCACTGCTTTCAAACGTGTGCATATTTCAGTCATTTTACTCACCTAAGTATTATGTCATTGAGTAAGATTAATAAACAGGTATGTTCTGCCTTATGTCATACCTAATCAAACCCAACTTAAATATATTGGAAATGATTTCATGAAAGATCACTCATCCAATACTGACAGTACAACACTAGTCCTATACTAACAGTACAACTTGATAGCAATCAATGTCCTTTCAATTTTTATAAATATATTCCGTACGCATTTGTTTTAAACTTTTTGCGTATCTAACATTTTAAATGGTACGCAACAATTATTTGTCAATGCGTAATTGGAAATTTTCTATCCATATTTTACCCGGATACGCAGCTTTTCTGGGCCTCTCAAGAGGTTGACTGGTCATGTTTTTTGTTGACATTTAACTTCATCTTAAATTTTCATTACTTTTTAAGGTTGATTTGATAATTTGCGGTGGGGGATTATGTCACCTTAGTGACAATGCTTGTTGAATTTAATTTTATTGCAATGAAGGCAGTCAACTGTTTTGCAGCCTTTGTTTTCAGGTTGAATGTGAAGTGTTTATAACAAGTAGTCTGTTGACTTTCTTTTTAGATTGCATTGTTACCTAACCAATTAACCTTTTTGTGTTGTTCTAATGCAAACATTCTCTTTCCATGATGTTCTTTATTGTTTCCAGGGCAACCTTCGCTACTGGCTGCAGAACAAAGACTGCCGTGACCAGTACAGTGTTATCTACGAGGGAGGCGAGAAAACCGCAATATTCCTCAACTCTGGGGCTGAGCCAAATTTGATTGAGGAAAGAGCGGTAAGTTAGTTTTGCTCATTAAGCTGGTTTGAAGATTTACCTTTCCATTCCTTTTCATATTGTCTTTTCCAGATTCAACAGCTTTCAGTAAAAGCAGTTTATGCAACTATTTGCTGGTGATTCACCTGTTCAGTTCCCTAATGTGCCTCTGTTGTCAGACAGTAATATTGCTGAAGTGGTATTAAGAGTAGATACAATCAGTGTCAACGTACATACTCTCCCTATGCCTACTAACCATGTGATCTTTCTGTAGAGATGGACTGAGACATATGCAAGATGGTCACCACAGGGAAATTACTTGGCCACTTTCCATCAGAAGGGCATCGCTCTGTGGGGAGGGGAGAAGTTTGAACAGATCATGAGGTTTAGCCATCCTGGTGTCCAGCTGATTGATTTCTCACCATGTGAAAGGTCAGTGCTGTTACTTATGTTACGTATAATAGTGATACAGTAATTGAAAACACGTCACAAGTGGGCCATGGCTTCCACCACATGCTCATTATTTATGTGAGGGAGATTGTGCATCACAGCTTTCCTGCTTCATTACATGAAGCATTCTCTGACTTGAAAAGAAGTTAGACTTCTGTGCTCTTGAATGCAGGCTTTTGGGGTGCTTCATATGGTAAATACAGTGGGTAAAGCGAATGGACTTGTCATGCCATGCTTGTAAATAGACCTGGAGTTATTTTTCCCCAGTGGTGTACAAAGTGTGTTTAGCATTCCATTTCTGAAAGCTGTAAAATCAGAGGCTACTGAGATACTGTCTGGAATATTGCATAATAGTACATACTGGCCTATGCTAAAACCCTTAGGATCTTCAGTAACCCATGCTTGTCGTAAGAGGCTTACTTAACGGGATTGGGTGGTCAGGCTCGCTGACTTGGTTGACACATGTCATCGGTTCCTAATTCTGCAGATCGATGTTCATGCTGTTGGTCACTGGATTGTTTGGTCCAGACTCGATTATTTACAGACCGCCGCCATAGAGCTGGAATATTGCTGAGTGCAGCGTAAAACTAAACTCACTCACTCACATACTGGCCTAATTTTCTTATATGATAGATGAGTCAGTCGCATAGTCTTTAAGCAGTAACTATCAACAGCATCTCTGTTGCTGTGCATACTATGAAAATATCATTGCCAGTTACAGTCTTAAAGCAGTAATTATGAATGATGTGTTTCTGTGCAGGTACCTGGTGACATTCAGTCCCCTCCAGGACAGCCACGAGGACCCCCAGGCCATCATCATATGGGATATCAGGACAGGCCAGAAGAAGAGAGGTTTCCACTGTGAGAGTCAGGGCACGTGGCCCATCTTCAAGTGAGTGTTTTCCCCAGCCTCTATCACCATGGGTTATTGTGACAGTTGCAGGAAACTGTTCTCTTTCATCAGTCCTCTTGGTTGTGTTTGTGTCAAAGAAACAGAAATAGTTTGTATGTTCAGGTCAACATGTCATATGGAAATATAAATAACAAGTATTCCTGATCAAATAGTTGAAATCATTTTGTATGTTTGGAAACTAACTGAGATAAACTAGATATCGAAACCAGGGTTCTATTTCTAAAACGTGTTAAGAAAGAAGTGTGGATTCTGTTCAGTATGAGAGAACAGGTTGGAGAAGGGAGGGGTGGGTTTGTAGCAGTGTCAAGCACCACAGAGTTGTGTCCCTTGGCCACATGTTTGTATGTTCAGAATCTGGTGTGCCCTGATTATGACAAACCCCACCCCAAAAGTTTCAAAGTAGTATTAAAGTCTCTCACTCTGTACATATGTACGTAATAAGGTTAATGTGACACTTCCCATCCAGGTGGAACTTTGATGGCACCTACTTTGCCAGAATTGGCCAGGACACAATCAGCGTCTATGAAACACCTGTAAGTGTTTTTATACATTGTCTGTACTAAATCTATTCTTAAACTCAAATGCCTGTTTAGTATATATTTGTTTGTTAACAAGTAATACAATTTTGGTATAACTTTGCCACCAGAAAGACACTTTGAGGTTCTGATTTTCAAAAATTTCTCTCATGATCCTCAAAAGTATTATGATTGTAAACTAATCTTTAATGATAATATCTAATAATTCTTCTGTTGTCTGTTTTGTAGTCATTTGGTTTGCTGGACAAGAAGAGTTTTAAGATAGACTCTGTCAGGTATGTAATAAGGTTGTGTTTCTCTGTCTCCTTAGCAAAGTTGCCAATCTTATGACTTCACACATGACCTGCCCAATTTACATTCAGGACAAGTCTACATATTGTATCTTGACAATCATTTCAGCACTGCCGTCATTGAGTTTTCGTTTGGGGTAAACCAGTAATATTGTGTCCTTTGGCAGAGACTTCTCATGGTCCCCTAGCGACAACATCATTGCCTACTGGGTTCCCGAGCATGAGAACGTTCCAGCTCGTGTGACAGTGATTGACATCCCTGGGCGTAACGAGCTGTGCGTCAAGAACCTGTTTAATGTTGCCAGCTGTAAAATGCACTGGCAGAAGAACGGGGACTTCCTATGTGTGAAGGTGGACCGCTACTCCAAGGCCAGGAAGGTGGACGACAAGGATCAAGTCAAATACAGCGTGAGTGTCAAGTGGTCACATCATCTTGAAAATGTCATAGGTTATCCAGAAAATTCTGTCGTCTTGTGGATAAGGTGTTTGCCTGGAGAGCAAGTGGTTTCAGACCCTGGCTACATCATACATAAGAGGGGTAGTGCCGGGGAGCCTAGTGGTTAAAGTGTTTTTGCTCATCACACCGAAGACCCAGGTTCGATTCCCCACATTGGTACGATGTGTGAAGCCCATTTCTGGTGTCCCCTCCCGTGATATTGCTGGAATATTGCTAGAAGCGGCGTAAAACTAAACTCGATCACTTTCTCATACCAAAGATGTAAAATTGTTGTACTCGTTGTAATCCTGCTTAAATCAGTGACCGCTTTGAGTCGGTATGTTGAGCTAAGTGGTATCTGCAGCATGGCATATGAATGGGCTGGCACTGTAATAAAGCATTACTCCAGACATGTACACACATGCATTCACTTCATACACATGCCCGTCGTGAAGTTGCTGGAATATTGCTAAAAGCGGCATAAAATCAAACTCAGTCAGTCAGTCATACACATGCTATATGTTTGCCTTGTAATGACCTGGAATAACTTTGTTCCAAATATGGATGTTCCATTTGCTTGCCATAACAGGCAACTCTATTGGATAGTGAGATGAGGCTGTGTGACTTGGCTGATTGTTTCACTGCACGCTGACAACGTTTAAGGAGGAAATTGCTTTAGTCATTAATTTTGGTATGCCTTCATAGAATCCTGTCTTGATGTAACTGTGGTTCGTAAAGGGCTTATGTGCTTAAGCATCCATGCGAGACCTTTTTGAATTCAATTGCTATTTATATCCATATTATTTCAGATCTTTAATGTATTTTTTAGGGAATATATTACAACTTTGAGTTGTTCAGGATCAGAGAAAAGCAGATTCCTGTTGACAAGGTGGAACAAAAGGGTAAGTTCACCTGACAGTATGATGGCCAATGCATCACATGCTTTCCAAATGTTTGACTTGAGGGTTAGATGTTAAGGTGGTCATTCTTCACAGCCACACCAGTCACAATTCACCAGATTGTGGGGCAGCCTTAAAGGTCTCTATATAATTTTCAATCTCAGTCCAAAGACTTGGTGAAACCTTCAGAGATTAGTCTTAGGGGATTGTAGCAATTAATTGCTTGAATGAGGCAAAAGCATTAGCTCTGTTTACATTTACATCAGTTCTGTTCTATGGTAAAATTGAAGCATTGAGACAAGGTCAGATTCTGTGCCAGTTTTCTTTTTGTTACTGAGGGTGTGGTGCTCATGTCCTATAACACATACTGCAATGTAAGACGCGAGGAGGTGATGCCAAAGTCTGTTAATTTATTTATGAATATGTCAATTTCAGAGATAGTCCATGCCTTTGCCTGGGAACCTAATGGAAACAAGTTTGCTTTCATCCATGGTGAATCTCCCAGAATATGTGTGTCGTTCTACATGCTGCTCCCGAGGGGAAAGGTGGAACATCTCAGTGAGTAGCAGAATTGTACGACAGTGGCGTTTGCTGTATTCAAAATACTAATGGAGATGCCAAGCCAGACGTTGTTCTCATCCAAGCTGCCTTAGTTTGCTACCTCTGTTGCTTAAAACTGTTATAGACGAAATAAATTTGGCATGTTTCTTTTTGTAATCCAGGGTTTTGCAAATATTGCCTGTTGAAATCTAAAGTTGAGGTGGGTCATTCTGGATCGGAAGGTCTCACATTGACCATAACCAACTCATACTGAAAGAAAGATTTCTTGTTTTTCAGAAACACTGGAGAAGCGTGTTGCCAACCATTTGTTCTGGAGTCCTACTGGACAGTTTATTATTCTGGCTGGTTTGAGGAGGTAGGTTATTCTTCTGTGGAGACAACCTTGTTGGGTTTTGACTTGCTCCTTGTGACCGATGACTAGAGTCATGGCGGCCAAGACCAGTTGCACCCAAGCATTAGGATAGTTGTGTTGCTTGTGCAGTAGATCATCTTTCAACATTACTACATTACCAAAAGTATGTTTACCCTTTCATCATTTTTTTTTTTTTTTTTTTTTTTTTTTTAATTTTTATTCATTCCAGTGGAGCATACAGGATGGTATAATGACATTTGACGAAATACAGTAGTAGACAAACATCTCAATGAAGCATGCAGGGTGATATTTAAGTATCATTTGGTGAAGTAGTAAGACACGCTTTTCAGTGAAGCATACATGGTAGTATTTGAGTATCATTTGGTGTAATAGTAAAACAATCATGACATATGGATCAACTACTAAGAGGATACAGGATGGCATAAGGACACTTGATGAAAAACAGTAATAGACAAGCATTTCAGAGAAGCGCGTGCAGGGTTGATATTTAAGTATCATTTGGTGATGTAGTAAGACAAACTTTCAGTGAAGCATACATGGTGATATTTGAGTATCATTTAGTGAAATAGTAAAACAAGCATGACATATGCATCAAATATTTAAGAGGGTATAGTCTTGAGCTAACACATATTACACTTGATTTTCATGGAAAATCATTATACAGAAAATAGTGTAATGAAATATCCGTATGACCTAGTAACAATTTAATCCGGCCAGAACAATACTGTATATAGCGCATGCTACACTTATATCATTTCATCATTTTCTACCCAAATAACCTCTCAGAAAAAAGTAGTGAACTTTCTGGGCGGTGGGGTGGCCTAATGGTTAAAGCGTTGGCTCGTCACGCCGAAAACCCGGGTTCGAATCCCCACATGGGTACAATGTGTGAAGCCCATTTCTGGTGTCCCCCGCCGTGATGTTGCTGGAATATTGCTAAAAGCGCCGTAAAACCAAACTCAGTCAGTCAGTCAGTGGTGAACTTTCTGTAGATGTAATAGTTCTTTTAGTATATATTGCATTTGATTGGTTGTGGTGGAGGTATTGGCTCTTTACAGAAAAGAGTCTCTGTTAAAATGAGTTAGTTGATTATGTGTCCCAGTTGTAATGTAACCTAAATAATTGAAGACCTGTCTCACTCATCTGTGGCCTACCTTGATGTTGAGTAAATGTTGAGTAAATGTCAATGTTTCAGTATGAACGGTGTCCTTGAGTTTGTGGACACTTCTGACATGACGGTGATGACACAGACAGAGCACTTCATGGCCACAGACATCGAGTGGGACCCCACTGGTCGCTATGTTACTTCAGCGGTCAGCTGGTGGGGCCACAAGGTTGGTGCTCTTACTGTACCATTACTCGACCATTACCTTAAGTGTGTTTAGAGCTTGTGTTTTTCCTTTCTTTTTATATGCAAGTCCTGTGTCTTTACATCACTTAGTTGATATTCTCCAGTAATCTCTTGTTGTGGTTGATGTGAATTGTAACTGATTCAAGAAGCTCAACAACTTTCTGCAGGATATTTTCCAGTAATCTCTTGTTGTGGTTGATGTGAATTGTAACTGATTCAAGAAGCTCAACTTTCTTCGGGATATTCTCCAGGAAAGAAGTAGCTGGTCAGAGTTCTGTTTACTCTTTGATAATGGGTATGTGTTTCCTACAGGTGGACAATGCCTACTGGCTGTGGAACTTCCAAGGGAATCTGCTGGCCAAGCAGCCAATGGAGAGGTTCTGTCAGTTGCTATGGAGACCAAGGCCACCGTCCCTGTTGACAGAGAAGATGATTAAGGTAAACACATGATCCCAAATGACAGTAGTAACCATGTCATTTCATGTTTTTAGTCCTGTAACAAACTCCCAGAATGAACGCTGATACAGTGGAAGGTTAAACCCGTTGAGTTAACCCGTGAAGGTCCGGGTTAGAATATTGCTCTACAGTAGCCCATGCTTGTCGTAACAGTCGACTAACGGGATCGGATGGTCAGGCTCGCTGACTTGGTTGACACATGTCATCGGTTCTCAATTGTGCAGATCGATACTCATGCTGTTGATCACTGGATTGTCTGGTCCAGACTTCATTATTTACAGACTGCTGCCATAGAGCTGGAATATTGCTGAGTGCGGCGTAAAACTAAACTCACTCACTTGGTTGAGTTACTATTTGTCACAACATATTCCAGATTGTTACATTTATTCTCTGTTTATCTGCAACAGGACATCAAGAAGAACATGAAGAAATATTCTCAGCAGTTTGAAAATGAGGACATTTCTAAGAAACAATCTGCTTCAAAGGTATGTATTGAAATACAGTTGTAATCAATCTGTTTTCCACCGTTGAATCCTCACATGAAAACAGGTGCTCCCCATGGTCCACTTACCCCTCGCAACAAAGGTGAAATTAATTCCTTTGAAACACAAGGTGCATACAAGGTGCATACAGCCTTTCACATGTATCACGTGTAGATATATGTGAAACAGCAGCATGTCTCCATACAGGGCCACATAGGGAGTGCTGTAACCAAGTATCATTAATGAGTGCATGATTTGGAGTTCTAAAGAGTTTCCATCTGAACATACACACCTTGTTTTGGTATGGCGAGACAACATTTGTTGTTACTTCAGACTGGAATCCGTTTAAACACCATCACGACAGATTTCAGTGTGTGCCGATCAAAATAATGTACTGCCTATTATGAACTCTTTGTCTGAAATGAAGTCATGTGTGATTATTCTGGCTGATGTTAGTTATGATAACATCCCTGTTATGTGCATGGTTTGATACCTGTGAATGTACCAACAACTCTTTAGTCACACCAATGAGATAATTGTGATTACATCATGTTGCACACAACTGCATGTTGACTCATCAAGGCTATTATGGCACCTTTGACTTGAAAGTATGACCCCGAACAAGGGTCAGTTCCAACACCTTGACTATACAGTGTGCCACCTGACACATGATAAATGTACCCCTGCAGGAGCTGCTGGAGAAGCGCCACGCCATGATGGAAGACTTCCAGCAGTACCGTGCCAAGAGGACTGAGGAATATGAGAACAACAAGGAATTGCGTCTAGCTCTCAGGAATGGTGGGTTTCACAAAATATTGCACACAGCTGTACCGGTTTTAAGTAACTGTAAACTAAAGGGCCACTGATCCAGAGCAATTCCCTGGGACTGGTTGTTGCTTTTGTTATGTTTTATTCCCCACCAATGAGAAATCAATCAACGTATTGGCGGTTTGAAGGTAGGATGTTATTTTTACACAGGCACTTTACGATGTATTCATGGTCAACACGTTTTTGAGGATAAGCTCAGAACTTCATTGTTGCATAAAAATACAGATAAGCATTTGCTGTGGACTAAAATTAAAAACTGCATATACCTATTTTCCTAAGTATACTTTCAGATTTATCTAACAATGGCAAAGTGGGGTTGATTCAGTTTACAGATTCAAACAAATCAAATATGTGTTTAGAATATCATAGTCAATAGGCATCATATTGTTACATGATGAATATCAGGTTAACACAAATAGGATCAACTTGGATCAGTCATCATATCATCCATGCATCAGAAAATCTGAACAAATCTGTACTGCTGGGATACTTTATTACAATCAGACAAGAATTACCGGGGATATTTTCAAATAACTGCATCTAATGGGCATCAAATGTTCTTATCATCCCATTGTTTAGGTTGAAGAAATTCTGCCAAGGTGGTCAGCTGCCCAGTCCCCGTGTCCATCACGGTCAAGGGAGCAGGGACTGACCACATAACATAATTAGATCTTTGGCGCGAAACATTAATCACTATGGATTAGTGCCCCTTTAAACTCTGCCAAATTTGAAAAGCTGTTGACTTAAGTCGTTCTTTCTAATTTTCAATATTGAGGTCTATTGATCACTTGATGCAGTGTATTTTGTTTTGTAAAAGAACATGCTACTACTTTATAAAGGTGTTACAGAAGTTATTGATTTCTTTGCCTCTGTGAGTCTTTGGTGTTAAATATCTTTGATAGTGTCCTGAATAATACACATTATTGTAACTTGCACATGTGGACTATTTACTAGTAAACATGTATTACTGTCATAATGGCAGTTGACCCTTTCCATAAAAAGTTATAGGATTTCGAGTCAGCATACTTGAAGGTGAGCCCATCCCTAATTACTTTGACTGGTTCCAGGCGTAGACACAGATGAGATCTACAGCCACGAGGATAACATGGAGGAGGAGGTTATTGAATTTTTGCTTGAGGTCGAAGAAACTGTCGTGGAGGAGTAGACGGTCATCCCGAGCCCAGTATACACTCACTGCCCGAGGCGGCCATCTGTGACAGCCATCTTTGGCGACCTTAGTGTCATCCGCTGCTGTTTCCTGAGGACATCGTATAGGTTGATAATCTGACTGCACTGTGCCTTGGCCATTGTTGACTGTTCTCAGGAGCTGCTGACAGGAACCTCATAGGTTCTATACCTGGATTGGAATTTTCATTTTAAGTTTTGTCATTTTGCATTATAATCAAAGCTTTGTCAGTCATTTGTGTAGGTGGTTAAGATGTTACTCAGATGCAATTGTATAGTTTCCTGTATATATGCTGCTGTTGGGTGTCATGTACATACCACCTCCCCCTGTATCCCCCTCATTGTGCTATTTGGACATTTTTCTGGCTATTTCCCGGTTCCATACCGGATATTTATGTTAAAGTTATTTAGGAGTATACACTTATGCATGGTCACTTGCAGAATCTTTGTTCACCTAACAAATAAGATGATAAAATGGTTTAGAATTATTCTTTTTGTGTTTATCTATGCAGGAATTATGAATTTGGTATGTTCTCTTCAAACATTAGTTGGTGACTGTAATTTTCCAACAAGTGAGAAACATCGTACTTCATTAAAAGTATGTCACTGGTGATTCATCACGAAGTAATGTCAGAGACAGATTCCCACTAGATGACAAACGTTTTACTCGCTAATTGTCAACAGCTTCGGAGACTATAGTCGGTGACGTAGCTCCATTGTCGCACACAGTTCTGTTCCTGGCCGTTTTCCGGATCCCTGCATACTTGAATATAGTGTTACACATCTGCATTCTGCTCATTGAGCTGGATGGGATGGCATATTTTGGCCTCAGGGATACCTGTCCATATTTATGTCTCGTTCCAACCTGCTTCCAATATATTTGTACTGTCGTAACTTTCAAAGTTGAAGCAATATCCATGACAAAATAAAGGCCTGTATGAGCAGTACTATACATACAGTAGTTGGCCAAAAGTGAGTCATCATTAGTGAAATGTTGACTTACATGTTAATTAACTGCTGCAAGAATAGTTTTCATAAATTGAGTAGAAGTCATTTTATTTTGATATTTAGCAAACATCTCGGGAAATCATCTTCAGCTACGTGTACATTTTCTTTCATCTTTCCGTTGATTAGTTATCGACTGACACCTGCTTAAGCACCATATATATATATACAACTTTTAATCTATCTCATAGACAACTATGTTATCATCGGAAAATTGAATGGAAATAATGTGTATGTAGCTGAGATTTCACCGAAACAAAATTTGTGAAAACATTTTCTTGCAAAACTTAATTAACATGCAAGTCTATTGGAATTTCACTAATGATGACTCACTTATGGCCATCTACTGTAACAGGAAAACGCTAAAACTGACTGCCATACACATAACTATTATCACGTACACACGATATGGTGTTCGACCTCCATCGACATGACTAAACCTCTATGCATAAGTGATTTACCCCAGTCAAACTCCAGTCCCTGACTTGTCAGTATTAGCCTATCATCTAGCGAGGTGTGCCTCACTGCAGGGGCAATCCTGCCATCCCCCTTCAGTGCAGATGTCAACTGACCGCCTCCGTGGTGTAGTGGTTAGAGCGTCCGCCCGGGAGAGCGTAAGGTAGCGGGTTCGATCCCTGACTGCGTCATACCAAAAGACGTTAAAATATTGTACTTGTTGGTCCCTGCCTGGCGCTCGGCATTAATGGGTACAACAAGTACTGGACTGGTCAGCTCGGGGTCAGTATAATGTGTCTGAGTGGGTTTTTCATGCTTCACTTCGGCATGGTATCTCAGTGGGCTAGCACTATAAAAACAGCTTCAGTCTGGGCTAGAACAAGGAGCTACACATACACACGCATGCACGTCGTCATATGAGCGAAATATTCTCAAGCACGACGTTAAACCCAATTTCACCTGACGTCAACTGATTGTTGACGTAATCGCTCTGTGATGTCAAAAGTTTAGGGGACACAATAGGGCGTGACGTAGCTCCATTGTCGCCGTCGCCTACTACTGGGCGACCAAACACTTCCGTTCCTTGCCGTTTCCCAATCCCTGTGTATCTTATGTTGGCGTCGCACATCAGCATTCTGGTCATTGAGCCGGATGGGATAGCATAATTCGCTCTCAGGGATACCTGCTTCCAATATATTTGTAGTGAAAAAAGTTTTCAAAGTTGAAGCAATATACATGACAAAATGAAGAACCTTTATGAGCACCACTATACATAATAGGAAAACGCGAAAACTGACTGCAATACATCTGAAACCCCCCATCTCACCCATGTTATCATGTTCCACCTTCATCGACATGCCTAAACTTGTATGCATAAGTGATTTACCCCAGACAAACTCCGGTCCCTCCGGTCAGTATTAGCCTATCATCTAGCGAGGTGTGCCTCACTGCACAGTCAATCCCGCCATAAGCTGGTTCCCGGGTCCCTTTGCGCGCGCCAACGTTCGCCAAAGCTAGGAGCCGATATAGGCTGCCATTTAAACGCTATGCCATATAGCTTGATTATTGCTGTGTGCGGCGTAAAACTAAACTCACACACTCTGCTCGTTTATTTGACGTCACATCCGCATTGGTGAAGCTGGACTCCGTATGTATATTGAAGTCGCGCTGAAAGATCTGAGAACCAGTTAACCCCCTGCATGCCGAGGATTTTTCTTGTCTAGCGCACATTTCCATGAGGTTTGAAAAAGTGAACGTTGTGCGAGAATTGCGTTCGCGTGGTCTTGGATCTACCTACGACTATGAAATTACACAGAAATGTAGAATATTAAATTTCAGATGCGATGGTATAGATTCAAGTGCAAATACTTCGAGGGTTTTAAAAATGGAGCTGCTAAATTTTGTACGGGTTTTTTGTTATGCGTTAAAAAACAGTAAATGTCGCCGCTTTTTATCGTGTACCGATGAAAGCACTGTGCGACGAATTTTTACATTTGGCATCTTTATGGAAAGTGTGAGCGAATAAAATACTGCCTGATATCTGAACGACATAAGTAGGGGAGACCGGGGTAATTGTAACACTTTTTACTTAACTTCTTGTAATTTGATACTAGTCGACCGCTCACAAAGTTAATCGGTACTATCTAGTACATTGTCATCTTGGCTTTAAACCTCAGTGTCATTTAAAATTCACTAGCATGTCGTTACAAAATTATTACGTATCAAATGCAATTACTGCAAGTGTTACAATTGACCCCTAGCAGAAGGTTCAAATGTAACAATCTGCTTATTTTCCAAATAATTTTTTTTTAAAATGTGGAAAGATGTTATCTTGATTAATTGAGGTGGAAATGAATTAACATTAAACCTTTGTAACCACCGACATTTTACATGTTTTTGGTTTAAAATTCTTGTTTTTTGTATGCCCAAAATATGATAGAAAGACTAACACCAAATACTTTCACCCGAGGGCTGATACTATCAACATAAGACTGAAAATGTCCTACTATGATGAAACTAGTAGAGAACTAACATAAAAACTTCATCATAAATTGCTTTATCATCATAACACAAGGGAAAATTAAATGGGGGCAATTGTAACACTGTGTGACAATTGCCCCCGATGATAGTAGCCATGTTTCATGCCACATCACATGTTAACAACTTAGGGCTTCTCAAGTATTTGGGGCGGTGGGGTAGTCTAGTGGTTAAAGCGTTGGCTCGTCACGCCGAAGACCCGGGTTCGAACCCCCACATGGGTACAATGAGTGAAGCCCATTTCTGGTGTCCCCCGCCGTGATATTGCTGGAATATTGCTAAAAGCGGCGTAAAACCAAACTCAGTCAGTCAGTCTCAAATATTTCTACTTCAAAATATGTCGTAATACCTCAATTTTACGCTTGAACAGTTAATTTCATTCAAAGCAACATTTACTGCATCAAGAAAGTTTTATTACGTTTTGTGAAAAAATTACTTTCCTATGTGAAAAACAATGTTTCGTCAACTGTTTCTCGCCATGAGCGAGCAGCTGAAAAACGCCTGTATGTGTACTGCAGGAGAGCAAAGGGAAATAACTCTACTCACCTACACTATGCTTGAGCGAAAACTGTTAGAGTAATCGCCCGTGTTACAATTGCCCCGTGTTACAATTGACCCCGGTCTTCCCTATTTATGAAGTGAGTTGGTGCGCTTATGTATAAAGTTATACGCTCAATATTAAAATTGACTCGCAATAAATGTCGAAAATGGATTTTCCTGTGTGACGTCAAACCACGACAGAGAGGCCATACACGTATATGGTGAGATGAGGTGAAATTGGATTTAACGTCGTGCTTGAGAATGTTTCGCTCATATGACGACGTGCATGCGCGGGTGTGTGTATGTGCGGCTGCTTGTACTAGCTCAGACTTAAGCTGGTTTTATAGTGCTAGCCCACTGAGATACCATGCCGCAGCGAAGCATGGATACCCCACTCAGACACATTATACTAACTCCGAGCCCACCAGTCCTTGTTGTACCCATTAATGCCGAGCGCCAGGCAGGGACCAACAAGTACCATATTTTAACGTCTTTTGGTATGACGCAGTCAGGTATCGAACCCGCGACCTTCCGCTCTCCGTTGCGGACGCTCTACCCACTACACCACGGAGGCGGTCCCATACACGTATACTGACTGAGTTTAGTTTTACGCCGCTTTTAGCAATATTCCAGCAATATCACGGCGGGGGGACACCAGAAATGGGCTTAACATATTGTGCCCATGTGGGGAATCGAACCCGGGTCTTCGGCGTGACGAGCCAACGCTTTAACCACTATGCTACCCCACCGCCCCCCCATACACGTATAAAGATAAGGGGGCATGACTAAGCTGTGCTTAACAGTAGGCCATTGTAACTCAGATCACGTGGAGATACGTTGAAGTGGATACGGACGCTATGTTTTCGTGATGTTTTGTCGACGGTGAACCAAACTACATGTATTCCAATACAAAGATCCCCAGTGTAACCGTATACGTTTTGGTAGTATCACAATTTATAAGAAACGATGACATCTTATTACATGAGAAAGCACCTAATAGCGATTTTGATGGCTCTATCCAATATGTAAATTAGTTCTTACATTCCCATATACTCCTGTTTGAGTAGGTGTATTTTGACTAATGTTGCACCATTATAAACAGAGTACTAGCCATATCTTTAAATGTGATGGAATTACTAAATAAATTACAACATTTTAGTTGACGTCATGGCTTGTTTTATGGATTTTGCGACGTTTTATCTTCTAACACTTGTGTAAAAGTTTAAAATATGGTGTACTACACTTAATGTGTCAATATCTTTTGTAAATATTATTCAAACAAACAAAAAACTTTCCAAGAATAACAAACGCATATCCTTTTCCACGTATGATATGATATTGAATAAGGCTAGATGTAGAAAATGAATTTAGTTTCATGAAAATATATCTGAACGACATGCAAAATATACATTATGATACTGAAAATGTAATCGGCAGGATAGGGTGATTG